CCCCATTGAATTCCCCCTCATCAGTCTCCCGGATGTGGGTGATTGGTAGCATGATATACACAGCAGAGGTTCTACATCCTATTCTCCATGGTGAGATTGTCCAGTTGATGCAAGATCTGGTATTGGCAATTCTTTCACTAACGTCAAGTCCAGACCTTTATCTTCTGTTCTTGCAACCCTCTTAGGTTTCAAGGTTACTATGTTTACGTTGATCTACCATATCTTCGTCTATGATACTCTCTTGTTTGCATTGTTTACTCGAGCTTATCTGCTTCACGTCGAGTTTCATTGTCTTTCAAGGCTATGTTTGGATCCCTTGTCTATTCATTGGTTTTTTATTCATTGGCCCTATTCCTGGCGAACTTTTGTTACATTTTATTATGACAAGCCTAACAATGACTTCAACAAAGCCCATTCAAATATCCAAAGCTACCTATAAAACCCCCCTCTGAATTTCTCATAGCACTCATTTCAAGCTCGATATCCAAAAACAACACCTTGACTCACTGAAATCCGTTCTCAATCAGTTGAATTATACTACAACAGTCAGAAAAATGTTGAGGGCATTTCATCACTCGCTAATCTGTTTCCCAAGACGCCGATGCGATTGTGACTCCGACGGTGGCTCTTTCGCAGCCCAACCTAACTGCCCATGGGAAATAGCACCAAAGCGCTCCCTGCGTCAACCACATCCTAAAAATGTAGTCAGAGGCGCAGCTCCTACTAACCAGCCGCAAACCAGCAGCAAAGGCGAAGACGACAGCGAAGAAGGTAGTAAGGATGAGGATAGCAGCGATGATAATTATCCTCCATCTTCCCCACTCAGGGAGGTTCCCTTTTCCACCAAAAGTTCTCATCCAGGAGTAAGGCCCGCGGTGGGGGAGACAAACCGTAACGAGGAATTTTCGTCTGGTGATGACCCATGTTCCCACTCAGCAAGAAATCCCCACACTAACAGCCCACCCGAGGTAAGTGATACTGAATCCAACGAGGCTTCATCTGGCGGGAACTTTTGCTCTGTCGCAGCCAGAAATTCACACACGGGCATTGTTCATGCGATGAGTGATGCCAGCATCAGTGAGTCCCAAAATGAATCAATCCCAGAATCAGGAGAAGGCATTATTTGCGTGAGTACGGCTGGTACAGGTGAATACAATACCGGCGAAGAGGACTATAATGGAGCTGATGAAGACAGCCTCGACTTGAACCAACATGACGATGAAGAGATGTGTGATGGCTCGGGGGAGCTTGAAGAATCAGACCATTCAAGCCAATCATGGCCTACTAATTCGAGTGACAGGAGACGTCGACGCTCCCTAGATAGCCAAGCTCGAGCCGATGCTGAACACAGAGGTCTGTATGGATCCGGCAGCAGTAGCGGCAGCAGCAAGCGCCAGTGCCTTGAAGGCTCAACCGACGCTGCAGGCGGGAGAGCGAGACCCGGGATCGAACTGACTGCGGAGGATGTCACCAGATACAGAAAGACAGGAGCGCAATACCAAGCATGGCTCGACAACCCGGAAGTGCCAGGTTGCCGAATCCAACCGGCAACACTAACTATAGAGGAGATGATCGACGAAGCGCAACCAATGCCTTGGAAAATCGATGAATCGTGTTTCACAGTCGAGCCCATGGCACTAGCAGGTGGTGACATTGAATCGATGAATATTGCTCGCGGCGGTCCGCGATACCGCTACACACATCTCCGACAGGGTCCGGGGCCGAACGCGCTCGATGCTAACGAATTTGAACACCGGGTTGCTCATGGTGTTATTGTTGCGGAGAGAATTTACAGGGAAGATGGTCCGCATTGGAATGAGGTTGCTCGGGCTCAATACTTGCTTGATTTTAACTTGAAAACTCTGAGGCATGTTATCTTCACGAATGTCAGCAATGAAGAAACAGCTCCATACATACTCTACGAGCTCTACCCCAGAGTGGGTGCTGACTGGTCACAGTCGAGAAACGTGGCGTGTATGTTCTTTGAGCATGGTAGTGCTGAGTATCAAGAGCTCCTCGGGACGAAGTTGGGTAAAGCTGTGGCTTGTCTAATTCTTTCTTCGTTCCCTAGGGGCACGATGAAGATCACTCGTGTTGTGACATGGTGTAATTCGACTACACCGCAAATCAGGTTTGAGATTGAACCTGTTATAGCTGCACCCGTCGCCCTTGCTATAGCTGCATGAGGTGTAAGATTTGGCTAATTCGTTGATACAATTTGCGCATATCGGGTGTAAGTATTTAATTTTGGTGGGTTTTTTTGTGGGTTTATCTGGGAGATGTAAATTGAGATATTGTCTTTCAAAAGAACCCAGATTGCTGCTATAGTAGATGATGCAGTGTTCCAAAAACAGCCACAACCTGTGTCCGCTCATCCATGTGGGTGGACTTTCAAGCTTAACGTCGCAAACATTTAACGCCTAGGTGCCACGCTCCGGGTCTCGTGAGACTGAAATGCCGAGATCAAGTTAAAGGCGGTAACAGACAATTAAGTGCAATCGTCACGTAATCTGCTGTTCGAAACGTCCAATCAGGGAAGATGCGAAGGTAGAAACATCAGATTGACATTTTAGTCAGCGAAGAATGCCTAAATAGATCAATTCATCCCAAATGTCGACCTGTAGGCAATTTCAACATAACCTATTTTTTTTCCTTGTGGACTTGGTTGGATTGGTAGTTAGAAAATTATCAAGACCGTTGACTTGGGGTTCTTCTCTAGAGTTTTTTTCTTCAATAAACTTGATTTGTCTTTCGAACACGTTCGGTTGGGGTGCTGTACTAAGACACTGGGAAACAATGCAAAGATAGGAGAATAGAGATTCCTGTTAGGAACTCTGGGCTATGCAGGGCTATGTAGGTTGGCATTCCACGGCGACCTATCTATTGTTCTGTTTGTTTGGGTTGTCTGAATTAGTAGTTCTGGCAGATGTGTAATGATGACAGAACTGCCAAACTATATCTAATGCGGCTCAGTGGTTTAGTGGGATAATTCATCTTTCGGGAGAAATCTCTGGTTTCAAAGAAATTACCTAATTTAGATGAGGTCCCGGGTTCGATTCCCGGCTGAGCCCCGTGTTTTTTTGTTGTATTCTTTTGAATTTCACCCTCATTGCTCCGTCGCATGTTATTTTTCAATTATATTCTCAAGATTAAGTGGGAGTCATACGTGGACGGGCCGAATCAAAAGACCTTGTCACTTAAAACACAGTTGTTTACATACATCGCACCCAGTTGTACCCAACTGCTGTGGCCTCCACATCTCTTTTCCCTGTTATAGCCGTGCAAGAAACTAGGGTTCCTCGATTCAGTTCCCTTCGTTTCTGGAACAGGCCCATGACTTTCGATTGGTGCATCGCGTGCGGGAACCAGTGAGGTGGTTCGGCCGACGGCAGATCAACAAAAAACCACCCCATGCGACTGAAATGTAGTTTTAAGTTATCTGCATCTCACAACGAAATATAATTCTCGCATTGAGCGGAGAGAACAATCTACAAATTAATGGTCGACTATAAGGGCAATGATGGCTAGTTTGACAAGGATAACAAGGATATTTTAACACGACAGTGTACAGACTAACTACGCGGGGATAGTCGCGCCCTACTCTTCGATTTAGATATTGAGATATATGTACATGACTTGACCAATCTGTAGGAGTTTTATCACATTTAGCCTGACGCCGGCTCCAAACTAACCATCCTAGACTACTTGAAGGTACGACTGCCGGAGTGTAACCCAAGACATTCCTGGACCCTGAATGAGAATTTAACAACACCAATTCTTCATACCAGCAATTTAAGGTTGGTCCTGCATATAAGGATGCAAATTCCGGCCTACGATACTTGGATCTACACTATACACCCATTTTTTGGCCTACGTCTTGATTTGTCTTTTATAATGCGCGTACAGTGGACGTTATCGGCATTGCCTCTCTTAGCCGAAGCTATCCAACCATCTGGATGTCCTCTTTTGGGACCGGTATTCCCTGCCCCTACTGCTCTTTCAGAGCATCCCATCTTTCTCGGCAAAGCCGAAGAATTAACCTCAAAGCTCAATGAAGCCATTGAGAATGGAAGTCTATCTTCTGTATCGTTCGCAGTGCAGATTTTCAGCAGCGAAGAGGACGAGTCGGCATTTGGCTTCTACCACACAGACGATCCAGTTAGAGCTGGCTCTGTCGGGGTCCAAGAGGTAGACGAGGATACGATGTTCCGCATTGGCAGCATATCAAAGCTATGGACTATGTTTCTCTTCATGACCTTTGAAGGGACACGATACTTCCACGAGCCTGTTTCCAAATACGTGCCTGAACTGCGAAAAACCTATAGCCCAGCGCAAAGAAATGACAAAATTAATTATTTGCAATGGAGCGATGTGACCATTGGCGAACTAGCTAGTCACCAAGCGGGCCTTGCAAGAGACTGTACGATGGCCATACCTCGCCGATCCAAGTGTGAACGTGAAAAGAAAACTGACCTTGGATTCTAGATGCATTTGGAGACTTTGGGTTCCAGTCAGACCTTGTCCAAAGCATGGGGTTCCCTTCGCTTCCAAAAAACGAGCAGTTGACTTGTGGGAAGGAGCATACGTGCAATAGGAAAGGTACGTCAGTTTTGTTGGCTTGCATAATCGCTCGAATTGTTTGACTGATAGAGGGAATGGTTTGAAGATTTTTTCCATGGCATTTTGAGAACGCGTGAGTAGGGTGATTCCGCTGAATCTGGACGGGGCCCTAACTCGCTATTAGATCCCTTGACTCCGACCTCACAGACACCAATATACTCGAATTCAGGATACCAGATTCTGGGCTACGTCTTGGAGTCAATTGCAAAAGCCGACTATGAAGATATTTTAATAGACCGTCTTATCAAGCCACTCAACTTGACTCGCTCCTGTCTTCGTGGCCCAGACCCCAGCTTGGCAGTGATTCCACACAACGAGAGTTTCAGTTGGTTTGATTTCGATCTTGGCGAAGAAGCTCCGTGAGTGCCAATGAACTGTTTTATAGATGCATAGCTTACACATGGCTAGCGCTGGAAGCATCTTCTCCTCCGCAAAGGATATGGCTACATTCGGCCGTGCTGTTCTTTCCAGCACTTTTGTTGACCCTGCCGTGACAAGGCGGTGGCTGAAGCCGGTAGCACACACATCATCCCTGCAACATTCCGTGGGAGCCCCCTGGGAAATTTATTCATTTTTGACACCTCGTCGGGTTGACCTGTACACTAAGGCTGGAGATTTCGGAATGTACTCCAGTTCTATTGCTCTTTCACCAGATCACAATGCCGGGTTCACGGTTTTAGTTGCCGGTGGAAACTCACACACGGTGGCGTCAGCAATCGGGGAGATTGTTGCGGACATAATGCTTCCCGCGTTTGATGAAGTCGCCAGGAGCCAAGCCCTTGAACGCTTTGGGGGCACTTATGCCTTGATGAATGGCTCCTCCAATTTCTCAATCACCATCTCGGCCGACGACGGGGCTGGCTTGGTCGTCTCAGAATGGACCAGCAACTCAGTCGACATGATTGAGAGTTTGATGGGTCTGCAAGGAGTGACAGATCGCTCTGCAATCAGCATTCGTCTACAACCTAGTGGTCTTGAGACCCCAGGACTGATTTCTTTCTTGGCTGTCATCTATAGTTTTGATATCTCGGAACAAGCTGGACCTTTTGTTGGATCCTGTTTTTCATGGATGTTGCTTGAATCTGTGGTGTATGGCAACGTGGGTCTCCCAGAGTTTGAGTTCGCACTAGATCATGATGGTAATGCGACGAGCGTGTCCCCTCGAGCGTTGCGCATTACTCTTCCTAGAGTTTAATGGACCGAGGAGATCTCACTTTTGCTTGGTTTGTTATGATCAAATTTGGGGGTCGGTGTTTTCTTAAATGTACATATTCACTCTACGTACCTGCAGTGAAATATTGACCAAGCATTTCTGGAATTATGAGCCCAAGCTAGAAAAAAAAAAGACATGACTGTTTCTAATATGTTTATAATTTCCTTCTGTCAATTTCCGCCATGACGAGAAATTTTGGCCTGCCTATGTAGATGGCGAGCAATTCATGTGTCAGAAATGGGATTTAATGCCCTATGCGATGGTCGATTTTGCACTTTGCCTGATATTTAGCCTTGTTCTCTGGCCGCCTCAAAACTGATAAACTGGACTTTCTTTGATGGCACTAAAGGTAGGCTATCAAAATGATCAAGAGATGTTAACATCTGTGGGTGAAAGTTGTAAATCCCAATGAGTCTACCTAATCTCGCAAGTTAGGTTGGCCAGCCATCCGAAAATTTTCCAGCCAACTATGCTATTCTATATTGTTGGAAGTCATTTGACTTCCATGTTTGCTCCTAGTACTTAGTCTAGCCAGTGCCTATAGATAGCTTCTCTCTCTTACAACGTATCCAGAGATCTCCAGTTTCATCCATAGCTTCATTTGTAGACTGAATATCATCTCTCTCATATATGTTTCCTGATGACCACAAGCTTTTAGTCAAGTAGTAGTAGCAGCCCTTACGGCTCAAGTTATCAATCTCTTTTTAAGAGATTTCATATATACAAGTCTCATGTATAGTTGCCACCGCTGTTACCCCCTATCATATACCTATGAACCGATGCTTCCGTAGTTGTCGTGTTCTCCGATGTAAATTTGAAGCCTGATGCTCTCCTAGTTACGTATAACCTATATTACAAGTTCCAACGTTCAACCGTTCAAATAAGCCCTACAACAGAAGAGAGCACGTTCATGGTTGGCTATGCTGTTCCATTTGGAATTATCGAAGCGAGTCATATCAATGAATTTGAACTGTTGCTAGACACCAAATTTCAATTCAAGAACGCAAAACAAAAGAAAGTGCACAAAGTGAACTCTACAGCAGTTCACATTACTTCCCAACCCCCAAGATGTTGAACATAAGGGTTAGAATGATAGTTATGCGTTCAGATCATTTCCTAATTCACAAGCTCCCACTCTTCACCGGCATACTGGACTTGGTAAGCCAGATGTGGGCCCGTGCTATTGCTGGATTTAAGACTCCAATCAACCCCAAAGTCTCCATTGTAAAAACCACCGAAAGTGAAATGGAAGGAAGTTACAGTCGTTGACACATAATGATTCGAGACACCGATGGTGTGGCCTCCACTTGGGCTCAGTACAACCAGTTCGATATCGTCCTTTCTTTCAAGGACGCGACGATCATTTGGCAGTGCAGGTGAAGGCTTGGCTGAATCGTCTCGATTGATTTGGAACTTGGTTGCCTTTCTGGAATCAAGAGAGATAATTTTCTGACCTTTGTCCTGGAAGATCCAGTACAGGTGGGGTGTTGACTTGGTGCGAATATAATAAGCACCGCCTGACAAGTATTCCACGTTGGATGTTGCGTCGTTGGGAATGGGTGGCAGGGCGCCAGGGGCATCTTCAGATCCACTGGTTCGGGCAATCATGGTGGTAGGAATGAGGTCCTTGGCATTTGAAGTTAGGAAGTTATGAAGACGCGATTCCTGCATCGTCATGGGTAATGCCCAGAACTGAGGGCTATATCTCACGAGATCGTTCAGCGGATTGGCAGCGCCAGCAGTTGTGGTGATACACCGGTTGTAGAACTCGTCTGCATAGTGTCTATTGGGGATGGTGAGAATTTCTCCACTATAGTATGGATCCCCCATCCGGTTGAGGTAGACTTGATACACCATCTAACAACGAGAGGAACTGAGTAAATGTGTAGTTTTCTGGAATGGGATGCTGCTCACCTTGTAGTTCATAGCATGTCAATGAATTTGTACGTTAGGAATGCTTTGTGATCCTTTTCAAGGTTGAGGAAATAAGTGATGATCGACTGAAGGATTAAATTGAATTGCAAGGGAAATGGCAGCTATTTTATAGATAAGTAATTCCTACAGATGTAAAGGAAATTTTGAACGGCTCTCAACTTTTCATTAGTTTTGTGTGCTAGATATGCTTTGTATAAGACAAATTAACATCAAATATGACACGAAAGCAAATAAAGAAGAAGATCCAGAGCTTATGAGTGGCAGGACACTACTCACGGCGCACGAAGAGAAAAAGCTACTACGCAAGATTGACTGGCGGTTGATGACGCTTTGCTCACTCATCTTTATGTTCAAAAATCTGGACAGTGGCAATGTGCGTATAAACAGGTCTTCTCGTCAAAGGTGCACATGTGTTGCAAGATCACTTACAGCCTCACAGACATCCAATGCTCGGATTATGAACAAGGGAACGGATCAGAATATTATGATACAGCTTGGTATCACATCTAACGAGTACAATCTCGTGACCGTGCTTTACTATGTAAGATTCTGAGCCCTTCCGGATCCAGGGGCCGCTGCGTGTTGCTAATCATAATCGTGCCAGGTCCCATACATTGTGTTAGAAGCACCCTCAAATTTACTGCTCAAAAAATTTCCTCCCTCAAAGTGGCAGTCAAGGATTATGCTCACCTGGGGTATTGCTCTTATGTGCAATGCTGCTGTGAAAAACAAGGGTGGGTTATATACGACTCGGTTCTTACTGGGTGTGGTACGTTACCGCATCAAGTCTCATTTTTTCATGATGAAATACACTGACACCGCAGTAGGCCGAGGCTGGACAGTTTCCCGGTGTCATTCTCCAGATGACTTACTGGTATCGCCCGGACGAAATGTCCTTGCGACTACTCTAATTTTGTGAGTTGACACAGGATCTGCTCCCAAATGCTCTCGCGCTGGAAGAAGCTTTACTTACGGGTAGTTTTAAGATATTTGCGGAAATGTATCTGGTATCTTCAGTGGTCTTCTTGCCTATGCGTTTGACACTGTATCTGGTGCAGGAGGGCTTTCCGGATGGCAGTGGTAAGCAAATCTTGTATTCAGTCCTCTTCTTAAGTACTTGCTTAAATTTCTTTAGGTTGTTCCTCTCCGAAGGCATTGCGACGGTTCTTTTCTCGGCTGTGATTTGGTTCCTTCTCCCAGATTGTAAGGGTTCTTCTTTGGCTCTCACAAAACAGTAGTTAATTTGAGATTATGCGATATAGTTCCCGAGACAGCTAAATGGTTGACCGAAAGAGAGAAGCAGTTTATTCAGGCTCGACTACCATCTAATGCTCCTCGTGCAAGCGAGCAACACTTTCAGCTACGTGAAGTGATCGAGTCACTAAAAGATAGGAGGCTATGGCTGTTTACAGCCATTTGGGCTACCTTTACTGTTGGAACCAACGGCGTCACTTTCTACCAATCGACAGTCATTGCCAACCTCGGGTTTTCGTAAGTTGGATGCTTCTCCGCAGCCGGGTGAGAAGACAATGGGCATTGCTGACCGTCTTTCAGGACCATTGCTCAAGCTCAACTCCTTAATATCCCTATCACGGTCTGCGGTCTCCTTTTCATTGCAATTACGGGAGTTGCATCAGATCGCAGCAGGATACCCCGGCCATTGTACCCACTTACCTTCCTTCTCATCATCTTAGTTTGTTACGGCGTTTTTGTTGCTCATCCGAGTAATGGTGCGATCTACGCAGTAACACTGATCGGAAATGCCCTGACTTCAGGATGGTATCCTGTCATGTGGTAAGTTTCCTCTATTCACACCAGATCGAGTTTTTCATGCATAGCTCACACCGTGATAGGCCATGGCGCGTACAAACCACCTCCCGGGCCACAGGATCTGCCTTCTCTATCGGATTCGTCAATAGCTATGGCCAGATTGGCGGTGCTATTGGCCCACAGTTGTTCCGAAGCAAATTCGCACCAGACTATACTGTGCCTTTCTCTGTGGCCATGGGGCTTGTGGGTGCTTGCGCGATCTTGACAGTGATAACATGGTGGGCAACTCAGGACACAGAGCGTGACACAAGGCGGTTGAAGCTAGCCAAAATTACGGCAGAAAAACGGGGTGAGACGATTTTGGAAGATGTTGTGGACAATGACTTGAAGAATCGTTAAAGTGGAAAGCCATTGAGAAGTCTAGATAAATTGCAGAGCTGTACGGAAGTTCTAGATAGACCAACGCCCAAACCCACACCCTTGATGACAGTACGACAGTGAACTATAGTGAATAAATCCAAAATATCACGTTCCTTATAATCAACTACGTTTTTTGAAAAGATGTGATTTTTCCAAACGTTCAAATACTCCGCGCCAGGTGCTTCAAAAAAAAAAAAAGCTCCGATAGTTGAATCAAAATCGCGCGATCTAATCGCCGCTAATAGAAACCCTCCGACTCCATACATACCCCTCACATTTTGTGGGAACTTCTTCGTGTATGAAATTCGATTCAAGACTATTTCGCATTCGCAGACCCCAAAGTTATTCCTCGGCTCATCTTGCACAATGAACTCCTTCGACGCCCAACCGGTTGCAAGGGCTTCCAGCGACTCCTACTTTGATTTGGGAACTTTGAGTCGTAAAGTCAGCACCAACTCTCAGGAAGCCCAGATATGGTTTGACAGGGCACTTGTCTGGACATATTGCTTTAATCATGATGAGGCAATCACCTGCTACAAGCAGGCCATCGCACACGACGAGAACTGCGCCATAGCCTATTGGGGAATATCCTTCTGTTCGGGCTCCAATTACAACAAGACATGGGCACTATTTGATGAAAGAGATCGGCTCACTGCGATAAAACAGTGTTATCATTTTTCCCAAGAAGCTCTGAGGCGGGTAAACAATGCATCCGATTGGGAGCAAGCGCTCATCAAGGCTCTTGTAGCACGCTACCCCAACGATGATCCAAGTAGGGATCTTGCCAGATGTAGCCGCGCATATGCCGATGCTATGAGAGAGGTCTATATAAGAATCGGTCTCGAAGACTTTGACATTATCACACTCTTTGCCGATGCATTGATGAATTGTGCTCCGCGAAAGTTATTTGATGCCTCGACGGGGCTTCCGATAGCATCATCCCCGGTGTTCGAAGTGAAAGATCTGCTTGATCGGGCCTTGAAAATGCCGAAAGTCGAATTTAATCCAGGTCCTGCACACATGTATATTCACTTGATGGAAATGTCAGCGACTCCCGAGGCTGCGTTGCCGGCAGCAGAGATGATCCGCGAAATCTTTCCCGATACAGGCCACACCTTCCACATGCCTGCCCATATTGATGTTCTAGTGGGAGATTATCGTCGTGCTGTAGAATACAATCTGAAAGCAACACTCGCAGATGACAGATACTTTGAGCAGAATGGCGGCTTGACCTTCTACAGCTACTATCGTCTACACGACTACCACTCTCTCATCTATGCTGCGATGCTTGGTGGGAAATCCAAGGCAGCGCTGTCAGCGACGGATCGAATGGAGGCGACTATCACGGAAGAGATTCTTCGAGTCGAAACACCTGCACTGGCAAACTGGATGGAATTTTTTAAGGCCGTCAGAGTGCACGTTCTCATTCGCTTTGGGATGTGGGAAGAACTCAAGAAACTCGAGCCTCTCGAAGATAAGGATCTCTATTGTGTCACGAATGTGATGAGGCACTACGGAAAGGCAATCGCATACGCCGCCACGTCTCAGCTTGATGAAGCCGACAAAGAGCGAGAATTGTTCAAAGCTGCTTCTAAGCTTGTTCCTCCCACACGCCTCGACTTCCCCAACAAAATCACCGATATTCTTAAAGTAGCATCTGCCATGCTGGATGGTGAAATTGAGTATAGAAGAGGCGAGTATGAGGAAGCATTGCGCAGTTTACGGGAAGCAATCACTCGGGAAGACGAGTTACCTTTTGCAGAGCCATGGGGGTGGATGCTTCCAGCTCGGCATCCATATGCAGCCCTCTCATTGGAACAAGGCAGAGTTGAGCAGGCTGCACAGGCGTATGCTGAAGATTTTGGGCTCTTCCCAACACCCAAACGTGCCCATCAACACCCCAATAACGTTTGGGCCTTGCAGGGTTATCACGAGTGCCTTCAACTTTTGGGTCGCCATGCAGAGGCAAAAATAATCGACAAGCAACTTTCTCTTGCTCTGGTGGAGGCAGACATTCAAATAACATCTTCATGCTTTTGCCGGCTTGGAATTATGGCTTCTTCTTGTGGAAAGCCTAGAGAGACTTGTTGCCAAAGTGAGGAGTCATCGTGTAAGAGGAGTTAGATGAGAATTTGGTAACTTCAAAATTGTTTTGTTAGCTTGTCGTTCAAGATATGTAGAAAAAACGAAAAGAGACCCTCCCAATCACCAAAGCAAACGCCGAATGTAACCTGTCAGCCCTCCTCTATTTTCGGGAACACGCTTTAAAGAATAGTATATAAACAAGGGTATTACATAACGACATCTGCAACTTGCTTGATCATTCCGCGAACCTCATTAACGATACGGAAACAAGGAACCAATCTCCGCGCTACCGGATCGTGTGGGCAGAGATCAAGCGGGTCGTGGTCAACAGTATCCTCCTTTCTCCGACAAAGGCCTTCAGAATTAGGACAAGCTTCGTGGCCGACCATATGGCGGTTGCGTTGCCGCTGCGCAAACTGTTTCCCCAGCACCAAAAGCCGTTCGGTATCTTTCTGTAGTCCATGCACCACGAGATCTCGCAGTTTCTCGCCGTTGATTTGCAAAGTCAGCTCCGATGGGATTCCAAGCCCGGAGTCCAGGTAGACTGTTCTAGTCTCGTTACTGATATCGATCTTAGCACAGTATTCATTTAACCAGCGGAGGTACTTTTGGTAGCCAGATGTTATCTCGAACGTCAGCTGGCCGATGAGTAGCACATTTTGAACCGTTGCTCGAGGCGGTTTGGACACGTCGTAGCACATGGGACATGTCAATAATCTTTCTGTGAGGGACACGCCTGTGCGAAGCATCGGGATGATATTGTGTGACATATCCACACGGCCCAGGCTCCTTACTAGATCGGAGACCTCGTCATCGCATTTACAAGACTGTGAGAGCGATACCGGAGAGACGTATGCATCCAAGGCTATTGGAGGTATCTCAGGGTTGCACAATAAGTTCTGCCGTGATGACTGCAATAACTCAATGGGAAAGGAACACATGTCACCGTTCCCAAGCAACTCCCAGTGGGAGGAATCGAACCCGCAGTTCGCGGATAGCCCGGATGGTAGTGAGTCAAACTCACTGGCTCCCATTAACATATGGCTGGCTTCGTGAGGACCAAATGGTGACTGAGAAACGACAGGCGAGAAATGAGATGAGCTTGAGGACGCTATTTGCTCCTCTCCGTTCGGCAGATCGCTATCTTCTTCTTGTCGTGCACGCTTTCTCGGTCTTCCGGGGGCTCCTTTTTCTTTGAATTTACATCTCAATTTTAAGCCCCTGCAACGAGAGCAACCGCTCTTTTCACCTGAGCATCTGAGCTTCCGTGTCCCTATATGCCATTAGCTACACATTCCAGGGACTGAAGAACGGCTTGGCTTACGGCATGCTTCGCAGGAATTTCGCTGTCGAGTGGGGTTCATACTCTGTTGAATTTGTCAGTTTGATCCAACAAGCAAGAGAGATCCGAGGTTAGGAGTTGATATCCACCTGGTGGAATCGCACTATTGGTCATCCTGCACTGAGATGGCGTCAACCGAGCTTCGAGCGGGGTATAGCAGGAGCAGACTCCTGAGCGAGAGAGGTTCTTCGGCATTCAAGATCAGATATCAACATGAAATGCATCAATTGTAGGAAAGACTCAAATCTCAAGAATTGCGTGCGGATCTGAATAGTAAAATTCAGAACTTGTCGTGGATTGTGGATTTCTCCAAAAACCTCCGAAAAAAAAACCCCCGGAGATATCATGCAACATCGATCCCCCGTTATCCCATCGGTTCTCATTCTTCAGTTCTAATGATCAGAGGCTTTTTTCCATTATAGGATTTGAACAGCAAGATGGCCAAGTCCATAACCGCACGTGAGTTGCGCCAGCATTGGGTAAATCAGCATGAAGTTGCCCTCCTCGACGTCCGCGAAGAAGGCCCCTATTCCAAATCACATCCTCTATTTGCACTAAGTGTGCCAGTATCAGAGATTGAGAAGACGTTATCTCCGTTGGTTCCTCGATTATCAGCCCCGATCGTTGTCTATGACGACGGCGAAGGTTATGCAGATCAGGCGACGGCCCGGATATTAGCCCTGGGGTATCGGGATGTTGCCATTCTGAAAGACGGGCTTTCTGGCTACGCCCTCGTCGGTGAGGTCTATCGCGATGTGAACGTACCATCGAAGGCTTTTGGCGAACTTGTCGAATCCATCAACCACACCCCATCCTTATCTGCGCGAGATGTCAAGGATGTTTTGGAGAGCGAAGCAGATGTGGTTGTCTTGGACGCCAGACGTTTTGAGGAGTACAATACCATGAGCATTCCCCGTGGCCGCAGCTGTCCAGGAGGGGAACTTGTGTATCGCTTTTTCGAGGCTGTATCCTCTCCGGAAACCACAGTCATTGTCAACTGTGCAGGTCGAACACGGAGTATTATTGGGACCCAATCTTTGATCAACTCTGGAATCCCGAATAAGGTGGTCGCGCTACGAAATGGGACAATCGGGTGGACATTGGAGGGGTTTGAATTGGACACCAGAAAGACGGAACGGGTTCCAAGTCCTTCCGCTCAGGCATGTCAAAAGGCATGTCAACATGCTGAATCGTGGGCAAATCACGTCGGCGTCCCGTTTATTAATGGCGACCAGCTCGCTCAATTTACCGCGGAGTTGGAAGATCGGACCCTCTATCTATTAGATGTGAGAGACCCGGAGCAGTACTCCCTCGGACACCCAGCCGGCTTCTCCAATGCCCCCGGTGGTCAATTGGTACAAGCCACCGACGAATGGGTCGGTGTTCGAGGAGCTCGCATTGTTTTATACGACACAGATGGTGTGCGAGCGCGCATGACAGCCAGCTGGCTGTTACAACTCGGATGGGAGGTGTATGTCTTCGAAGAGCAATCCCAAGTGCCCGATGGGCTTCCATTGCCTAAAGGCCCTTCATGGCATGCTTCAACGGGTGGCTCTATTACAATCAATGACCTTCAAACCCTCTCAGGAGCTATTGTAGTAGATCTCGCCCGCAGTCCATCCTATCGTAAAGGCCACATTCCGGGCGCATGGTTTGCTTCCGGACCCGAACTTGCCCGCGACTTGAAAGGTATTGATGGGGACGGCCCTATCGTGCTGACCTCGCCCGATGGTGATGTTGCCGCCATGAATTTTGACGACGCACGCAAATGGGTCTCTCGAGAGGTTTTATATCTGGCAGGAGGGACAAGTGCCTGGGTAGCTGCAGGCCATCCCCTCGAGACGGAGTCAAGGTGGCTGTCGCAACCAATCGACGTATATAAAAGGCCGTATGAAGGGACAAGCAACGCTCGCAAGGATATGAAAAGGTATCTTGACTGGGAGAATGGGCTTGTGGCACAACTGGCGAATGATGGGGTCGCTTGTTTCCGCGTTGTGCGGGATACGCGTGAGGAGTGTGGGAAGCTGCGCTGAGAAGAGACACATGTCCCACCTACTCCACCACCTTCTACTCTTGTCTGCCTATCCTGAGCCGAACACTTAAGGAGGAAAAAACGAAGTTCCAAAAACATACAACAGCATGTGTATGACCGTGGTCACCTAGCGCCCACAGTTCGGGCGTGGGCGGCTCGCCGCTCTATTCAGGGCACTCAGGGCAGATATTCACCCACCTGAATATTCAGCCAGTGCAGAAAAAGGTACATTTCTTATCATGACCAGAAAGCTACAAGTACTCTTCCTTCCCCATCCATTTTTATCTTCTCCCCAGCCTCACTTCGTCACTCCAACCCCTCTTTTTTCACCTACAAGATGCGTACCAAGCATAACCCAACCTTGAAATATATGGCCAATGTGGTGGATTTTGGGGAGCATAGCAATAATGAAATCCAGCGGACAGTGCTCCCACGAACAGAATCCGGTTATAGTGACACGTTACTTACTTTCGATAAGTAAGTAAGCGTCAACTGAGTGGGAGCAGAGAAGCAAGTCGCTAAAACGTGCCTCTATCACTAGGTTTGTCGCACTACATCCACAGGCTATAATTCCACCGGATATCAGAACTTGCAGGGCTTTCCTCGAGTGGGTTTCAAGAGGAATGAACGGTTGGATCGAAGAACGGCCTACAGTCGAGACGATTCAAGGATTCTTTAGGAAATTTGCCACTGGTATGAAGAGAGAAAGAAAATTTGAATTCCCACCAGCTATAAGGACAACCATCAATGAGGTTTGTAATAGCTGCATTTTGAATAGGTCAGTACTAATACTGGATAGTATATTGTGGGAGAATTAAAGATCAAGATCCCTCTCTCAACTGAGCAAATGAACAAAGTTGGCGGTGTATCCCCAAACGATTTGACTATACTGATGACTCAATTATGGTGTCGAGACCACCATGAGTATCGTGGGGACCCTGCCGATCGGGCCAGAGTCCAGCTAAGTGCCGCGATGCTCCTATATTGCTTTACCTCTGCGCGCACAGGTAAGGTTCATGAATCAACCGCTCGGAGACACGGAGCACGGGAGATCGGGGGGGAGAGCGAAGATGCTGACTTAGAAGCCCGCGTGATGGCTGCCTGTTATAAGGTATGTTCAAATAAGGAAAAAGATGCTAATGCTTGACGCTGACTATATTAGCATTTTGAACTCACTATCGAGACCGTGGATGGTATGATAATGCTTGTACTTACCTAGGAGCGTGAATTTGTGAAAAGCTATTGGCGAAAGACAAAATGGGAGATCCCAAAGCACGCATTTTAGGAAGTATATGCCGAGGATATGCCTATATTTCTCAACTTTTTGACATTCTTTTTGCCGATGGCCGTCGCAGATAAAGCTTTCAGAGATTACGGTTCAGTGAGAGAGATCTTAGATGCTGTCGACTTATATGAGAAAGTCGGTCACTCAGAGGATAAGATCCTTGAGGTGATCTGTGTCCGGGAACAGATGAGAAATCTACCGGTTTTTCGGTAATATCTTGAGCACCATGTGGAAAGTTCCAAAGGTTATGCCAGGGGAGCGGATTCCTTTGGCAAGGCCTTGGTAAGTCTAGGCCATAGAAGTGGTTATACACTGAACATTATTGTTCGCGCGTGTCGAACATGGGCTTTACAGGAAGCAGGTACAGATTCACTTGATATATACACCCGCTGGTTAGCTGATGATTTTAAATAGATAAGACGTATTCCGAGTCTGCAAGAATGAAATTCGCCGGGCAAACCAACCGGAACACATAGGAAAGTCGTACGCACATCCTCTTAGTGAGGTTGATGGACCAGCAAACTACCTCGGAATTGCTAGCCGACAAGAGCATATCCAGAACCGGCGGGGAATGGGTATTAACCGCAATTCCGCCTTATCACAGCTCCTTCCTGCCAAAGCCGAGTTTGAGTTTCTTGCCCGAGAAGATATTCATACACTTGACCAAACTATGGCAAAGTTGAGCTCGCTAATTTTACACGCCTTACCGGAAGAAAAACACGAAATTCAACTGAAGCAAAAACGGGCCTATAGTGAGAAGCGGAGCCTTTATAATGAAGAGCTCCGAAAGGTCCAGGCGCAATCAGGGAAGCAACATGGAAGTATTTACACTGAGACCATGTTCCACTATAGGAGGAAGGTAATGCCTCACAGAGACTTCTTGGCTCAGAAATTGCCTTGTAAGCTCAGCCTCCGCAGTTTAGATGGAAGAAGAGTCCTACAGGCATTAGAGACTCTTTGCAGCGAGAAAAATACGATTCCATACCTCGATAGCCTCAGCCCCATAGGGCAGGCTTGTATATGTGGAAGGTCTATGAAAAAGTATGTTATACTAGCAATGGGAATATACGATTTGCCTATTATTGACTCAAATAGATTCAAGGATCACCGAAAATGGTTACATCTCTACCGTTGCTACTTAAGGCATTACAGAACCACGCACGGGTTTGCAGAAATATGCTTTGAATGCGACCTATGGTTTACCAATGAATCGGAGTGGGGGACTCATTGCCAAGAGCATCTTGATAATCCAGGCGATTTTCTCCGTTGTGATCCGATAGTATTTCGGAACGCACCCATAAAGCCAGGGCTATGTCCGTTTTGTCTGGGTGCTAAGGGAAAGAAACCGGCAAAGAGAATGTTACAATTCGTCCTCTCACCACCAAAGTGGCACTCCCATATTGAAGATCATTTGAAAGAACTCAAACTTGATTTCGACTGCAAGCATCCAGCGTGCACCACGCACTTTGAAACCCTAGAGGACCTTACCTATCATCTCGTTGACACTCATTGTCGGCGCCCTAGGCGGCAATCGCCCAAGAAACGAAAGTGGGCGGACTTATTTTAATACACACAACTTTTCTTCACATTCCACCCTGCCTATTTGAATGTTCTTTTGACTTAGCAATACATATTTAATAGGATAGGGCTGGTTTATTCCACGAATCTAGCGCCACATTAAGCGCTAGCTTATCCCTCACCATATACTCTCTCCGCGTCCTCCTCTCATTTTAATTATATAGATTTTATTTCAGATTGCTCTACCCATGTTAAAGTAAAACCTTTCGACCATTTTCCAAACCCTTCACCCGCTTTTGCAATAGACGATGGTTCCTCCAGACCAATATTTCCTCCCTAAAATATTCCAATTTTCGCTGCCGACTGTAAATGGGTAGTCAATCGGTAAGATAGATAGGAACTCTTTTCCTCCGAGTCAGTCAGTCAGCTAGCACAATGTAAGGTATTACTTTTTATCTTCATAGCTTCCTCTCCAAGAGATATGCTTTAGTGTTAAAATCGTGCGCTCTTAAATTGGGCCTATAGCTTAATGCACGTGAGTTACCCTGCAAATGGGTAGCATCCCACATATCCTGTGAAAGGTGCTCTACAGATAGGACACGCCGTCGATGTGTCAAGATTTCCTGCGCATGAGTGGCAAAACAAGTGCCCGCACAAAAGAGTTATCCAGTGATCTGGCTGCATCCAGCAAATCATGCATTCCAAAACAAGCCTGTTCCTTTCTCGGAAAAGTTCCTCCTCCACCTTTTGGCACTCCTCACTCTCCCGGCAAGCTTCCTCCTCCAACCTTTGGCGCTTCTCTTTCTCTCGGCCAAGTTCTTCCTGGAGCGCTCGGTTTTTGTCTCGTAACAGTCGTATCTCATGGTCAACTGTATTTCGGACATTCCTGAAAGCGTTATCCTGGTTCACCATTAGTCAGGGAAGGAAGGGTGTTAGAGATATTAGAGATCTACGATGAATGTAGATGTAACTGGAAATCTCTTGATGCGTTGAGAGAGAGAGAAACTATCTACATGCTATGACTGAGACTAAGCACTGGGAGTGTGCTCCCGAGAGGATTGCAGGGTTGCATACTCTCGGCGCCTGAGGCCGCTACTCAGCGGCGCTCGGACCAAGCAATTGGTCACAGGAAAAAGGGGTTTCATGTTGGATAAGCGAGGGCTTGGCATGTTATGTAATAACTCTACATTATAACTGGTGTTTAGCACTATCCAATAGAAACCATGCGATCCTTACAGAATCTCAGGAGCAAACAGTGGCGGTCACGTGACCTTCCAACAATACGAAATGACGATACTCCCTAAGGGTCTGCTGTTGTGTTGAATTGATTGATTTTCGATCCACCTGTTAGTAGTTAGGAAGCTTGGGAAGGTCGGAGTAAGATTTAAGATATAACAATCCCTCTCGAAACTCGTGGCGGCATTCTAAATCCGGGATGAGGAAATGAAGAACCAGAACCGTAAGGGTTCGTGCGACGCGCTCGTGGCGCTGGGGTAGCCCTGAGCTGCACATATCACATTTCAAACCTAATCCCGCATCTTTCTATCAGCCTTCCACTTTCTGATCCGCAACTACCTTTTCAGCACTAGGTTTTCTCCCCTCCATGATTGATATCATAACTTGAAAACCTCTCTACACAATGAATGATATGTAGGTCGGCATTTATCGGGAATTTAGATTAATTTCCATATGCATCTTGACGTATATATGCGCCAAGACGCCACATAAAACTAGTAGGCTTAGGCTCATGCCACGGGCACAACCAAGGTAGAAAATATCATATACTAGACTATTTTGGATTTTACAGTCAGTCATATAGAACTATTAGTGATAGGAACCTAATATGGTTCAAGTAAGCAGTGTAGAATTGGAGCTTTCTATTTTATTACATATATAAAGGAGAACCACACCAACCCTTGGAAGGTATCTCTTTGCGGACTGATTTTCAATCTCTCATAGGTGCCTACAACTACCTGAAAACTTCATCGAGGAAATTTCTCTCACAAAGGGCATAGATGAACTAAGCTTTGATAACTAGTCATGATAACTCGCTAACTATACCCAGATTCAACAAAACCAACATGTCTCAATCTACTGTTCGCGACCTGATACGGCTCCCTAGCCCTGCGCAGCTACCCGTTGACAATGATACTTCAATATCAATAAGGCAATGGACACATGATTTCCCTCCTCTTGATAGCAGAATGTTAAGAGTAAGGCCACCAGCAAGGCAGGGTCTTACAGCATTTTTGCTTCCCCAAGAAGGGAGCGTGGCTCATTCAGTTGGCCTTGAAACCCCGGCCTATCGGTTAAACTCTCAATCGCTAGAACAATGTACCGAAGGGGATGTGACACATGATTTTTTTTCAAAGCATCAGTCCCTTAGTTGAGCTCTCTTTCGGCGACCTGTCATACTCTATCACTCATCCGGACGATCCACCGCATACCTCCGTTCGTGGAGGACCGAAACTCAAGCCACGAGCACTTGTTGGGTCGGATATTTCAGACAGGAAGATAGTTGACTACCAACTGACGATGGCCCATCGGAAGCCATACCTTGAAGGTGCTGCTACCATAGGAGAGTTCAAAAGACCCCGAGTCATTAGGAGAAGAGAGTGGACATTTGAAAGATCCCCATCAAGTACAACAAAACGCCTTATGCAGGAGATTAGAGGGTATGTCCTATCTACTTTTTAAAAATTGTTCATGTTTAATTGACTTCAAAAAGGTATGCTTATTTGTATAACTGCCCACAAGCTTTTGTTTTCGACTCGGTGAGCCTAGTACTATTAAAGTTCTGTGCTACGGATATGGAGGCTATTCGTGACCAATTGTGTCCTGTTGATATTTGTATCATTCCACGGGAACAGGCTATTCGTGACCAGTGTACGATGGCAGAAGGTCTACGCGCACTTGCCTTGAATGGTTTCACTCGTCTTAGTGCAACTGGAGACTCCACGTCCACAACTTCAGGGGATAACATACGGTCATCAACTCAATTGACCCTTGGTGGGCTTGAACGTCAACACGATTTCTTGGGTCGGCCTTTCTGGGTGGACCACCGTACCAGACAGAGGTTTTTTGACCATCCTTCTGGATATTGGTGCGATCTTAGGTTCGTGAGGAGTAGGGATGGTAGTCCGGAATATAAGGGATACTGGTCATGGTTTGACCATGAGGGCCGTTTTGTTGCTGATGACACAAGGAATTGTTTCCTTTCTTGACGCATAGAACAGAGTATACATCACTGGAGAAGCTTGTATATGGGATCATGAACGCCGCTGTTTCTTTTTTATAATTAATCAAAAATAATCGGCTGGCCTAGGGTATTTGTGAATGTAGGCGATTTCAACATTATTTTGGTAGTGCTGTTTAAGCTAGGGGGAGCGGTGCGGACGGAGTACACCGAGAAGATGCCACAGGTAGGGCTAGTCCAAACAGTAAGTAGTATTGTTACGGGAAGATGTTCGGATCTAACTGGCGGATCATCCTTACTAGGTACGCGATGCCATAAATTACTGTTTTTACCCCCCTTACATCTGTTGATCACATGACGTGGAGGTTTGATAAATATATGAGGCGCGTCATCCCCCAATTTTCTCCGTGAACACTCTCAATGCTCCTATACAAGTCCACACCATGCCTCCCCTTCCCCAGAACCGGAAATTATCCAAGGTATGTAAGATGGGTGCTATACTTAGGGAGAATATTTGATTAAACTCATCGCCTTGGATATTCTACTTGGATAATCATCCAATTTATTCAACCAACGTACAGCTTTTAGATAAACGCCGTACTGTTTATCGCTTCACACTTGATCCGAGCTCATATCGACACTCGATTCCCCAGACTATCACATCAGTCATTGTCAAACGGCAAAAGAATGATTGGGAGAAAGAATTTTGGAATGAGAAAGCAGTCTACGACAAATTGAAAGAGCTCCAAGGGAAAGTGATTCCATCTTTTTTTGGGCAAGGTTATTATGATGGACTCCCTGCACTTGTATTGTCCGAGATTGATGGTGTTACTCTCTATGAACTGGCCCGCAGTAAGAACGACTTTCCTGCAGAAGCTTTGAAACCTTATCTCGAGGATGTCTTTCGTCAGTTTTCAGAATATGGCGCTTTGTATCGAGATCAGAGATTGGATAATTTTCTACTCTGTGATCAGGGCAACGAACGATTCAGAGTGATGGCTGTTGATCTGGAACAAGTCGATTTCCCTGATCGCCTGAACCCCTGGGAAAGACTAGTTAACTCGGACGGTGCAATGTCTATAATGCAAGATTTCGAAGATATGCAGCATCCACATCGTGATCCATCTCCTCTACGAAGCTGGCGGGTTAGCGGGTAATTTCGATATCATTTTTTTTTTGTTGTTGGCCCCAGGACAGAATATTTGATTCAAGCCGCAGTAAATATCTCAAAATATAGCCACAATGCGGAGCTACAACTACTACCACTTACACATTTGTTGCCCGCTTTCAATCGCTTTCTTCGTATGAAAACGAATTATTGAGAAATTTGCCCATCCAAAGCAGATGAAATTCCAACGAAAAAGGCCGATCGGTCAGTATAACTCTGCTAGCCAACCCTTTCCATATCTGCATCACCCGAAATAACATCAGCTTGCCAAGAAACCACCATGGACTGTATTCCAACTTCCTCGTTACGAAGGCTGCTTCCGAGCTGGATTGATTCCTTTAAAAATCACGGAGTGACATGCCCAAAGTAAACTAAATTTACATATGATACGTTCCCCCGAGGCCGGAACAGACCACAGCTTAAGGAGAACAGTATCTATAATCAATATGCGAGACCTGGCCCTATCTATGGCCGCCACTATATGTCTAAGAATAGCTATAGCCTCGGCATCAGAACAGTCGTGCAAGACCATACGGAGAAGGTTTTTGTTTATTTTTCGCACCTCTACAAAGATCTTACACGATAGATAGAAGATACAGATATATCTTAGCTAGCGCAATAACAGACGTGCCAGTTGTTCTCCGACCCAATTCTACAATAAGGATTGCATTTCCCAGAACGATTCGGACTTAAAGAGTCCAAGAACTTGTGCTGACAACCAGGCCCCCATTTGGAATCTGTTGAATGAAATCCACCCACTAGATTCTAGAAACCCACCCCTTCGCTACTTCTTACGTTCCGCATATACCGCACGAAGTCCGACTTAAAGTCTTCGTTGGCCGACAGATACTCGAAAAAGGGAAAGCTGGTGTTATACAACGGATTGAAACCCGTCTCTTTGGTGCGAATGCTGTCGGCTCCCCATTTCTGATGCACTGGGGCCATCTGCTGGGCACAGCGCGCGGTCCGCGAAAACAAGTACAGCGCATATTCGTGGACATCTCCATTGCGCGCCAGCAGCGCGGATATCGTCTAGTGAACTATACTCTTGCCATACGGTTGCTCGCGGAATAGAGAGTTTGTCATTGCTATGCGAATGATACTTTCCAGTCGCTGCTCGGGCACTTTGGCTGCTGCTGCGAGATCGGCATAATTTATGCGCTCGTTGGGTGGGATCAAGTGGAAGATATCGAATTCGTATAGCCAGTGGAGATATGAGACATGTCGAAATTGCATAGAATCAGTGGGGTTTTTTCTTCTGTAACCCGCGACCCACGTCAATCTTGCCCCGGTCGTGAGATTGGGAGAAACTCGCTGGGTCCATTGGCCAGTTGGGTGATCTCCAGCGAGGCTGCGTTTAGGTTCACGCATGCTTATTGGATGCTTGGAAGTGATGAGATT